CAATAAAGAAATGTGTACGGTATTTAAATAATTTATGTGGAAATTTCTCCGCTCATAAGGTAATGCATGGTTTATCGAAAATTCTTATTTTTAAAATTATAGTTTCCATTGCCACACTTTTTTTAAAGAACGCAAAACTGAATTATCAAATTTTATCGCGTATTATAAAACCATATTTAATTATTAGTTTTATCAAAATCATTACAAAAAACTTCGATTACAACTACCGGGCCATTTGTTGATCCAGAAATACTAAACTTGTGCCAATTTTAACCATTTATTTGCAAATTTTTCCAGTCATAATGGCCATTGAAATTGAAATATCATTAAATTTTCCTAAATAAAACATCTAAAAATGTGCTTTTCTACAACCAGGGAAATTTGAAGTGAATAATTTTGTATATTTGTGTTCAATGAAATAAAAATAAAATTTTAAAAAGAAATTAAAAAATTTGAAAATTTAACAAATTTTAAAAATATTAATTTTAGAAAATGAAACTATCTTTAGCACATAGAAACGTTAATTCGAAACTTTGGATGCTAACTTTTACTGTGATATCATCTATTGTTTAAATTGTAATTAGAAATAAAAATATAGCTTAGAAATTAGACTTTTAGAAACTGTCAATGTCCGAAAATGTTATATTCTCAATTACTGTAAAGTACCGCTAAAAAAAGAAGAATGTTTTACTGACAAACATTTATTTTATACCTTTCTTTTAATATAATATTGATGACAACAAAAGAAATCTGGCTCTTTTTGCTAATTAATGATCATATTAGATGATTTTTATGACCAATAAGAATTCATCGACAAAAATGAGAATCAGTTAATGACCATATCGTTTTATGAAGCATTAAGAAATGTATAAATCCTTGCTGGTAACTGTGCCATGCACTGTAAAAAGTTCAGTATAAAAATACGGTTTAAAATATAAGCCCACTTAGTGCAGCATACGTAAAAGCCGTTTTACGATAAAATCCCTTTTTACAGTATTATTTACAGTAATATTTATTAAACAATAGTGATTCATTACGGTAAAAATCTCAATATATCAGGTTTTTCCTTCTATAAATTTTTACGGTAAAATGTTAGAACACTCAGAGTACCGGTACTTTTTACTGTAATTTTATCCAGAATTCTTCACAGTGCAACAGAGCACGAAGTGTTTAAGGAAATTATTCTACAAAATCATTTTCGGTTTTCAAAATCGGTTTTCCTTTCTCAAAAATATCTTCGATTTTGAAGTATTGTTTTGGACTAAATTTAATCACATTATGACATTCTTTTATAAAATGTGCCATTGTTCCGGAAATGTTTATAAGTTGCATAAGATACGTCTTGCAAAAATATTATGACAGTGTCTTCCTATGCTACATTATTAGAAAGACATAACATTAATTACTTAGTTTTGCAATTACTCATTTACCTTATTTTATTTATTTACTTTCGAAAAATAATGGTTCAAAAAACATTTTGATAAAAACAAACTTTCTTTAAAGACCTCACTTGTATAATAACTCAAATAAACCTGAACAAAAATAACGAGGGAGGGGAATGCTTAATATACGCTTATAATTACCATAATCTATCAGAGCCCCAGGTAATAATTTACACATGGGTTAATCACAGGGAAAACTTCTTTTTTTTATTCCACACTTTCATTGTTCTTTTCGAAACTTTATTCGTTATCGTTAACCACGTACTCGGAGCAGCATCGATAGCTTTTCGAGGTTGCTTAATTGGTTGAGCAACCTTGATGCAATGTACGTTTACTTGAAGAATTTTATGAGCCTCTGCTATTTTTAAGAAAAATAATTTTTTTTTGTTCTAATTATTTTTCTGGCGTAAGATGAGGCCTTTTATGCATTTAATCAAGGTGGATTGAAATTTTGTTTGTGTTTTAAAGACTCTTTGCATATAATGTATAATAAAGTAAATTACTAAATTCTAATTATAAAAGGGAAAAGAAAATTCGTGCATGTCTTTCCCTAATATTGTATAAATTAATATTAAAATACGTAAGCGGGTCATAAAAATGGGAAAATCTCGCTTATTAGTTTTTATGGTAAATGGAATGAATTATAAAAGGTATTATCATACTTTGAATATAAAATATATGGATATATTTATTAATTTTCAGCGATATTAGGTCCAGAAAATTGGGGGAAATGGGCTTTTCTTTCTTTTTCTTTTAAAAAAAAAGAACTTTTAATTATTTTATACTTAAGGACAGAGCTTTTTTGTTTTATATTCCCTTAATTCATCATCAGTTAAACTTTGTATCTAAAATACTAATCATAAATATTAAGTACGCGAAAATTTATAAATACTGCATTTTTATTTATAAAAAGAATTTTTTTTAATGAAAATATTTTCATATTCTTAAAATGTAACATCATTTAAGCTTATAGTAAAATATATAATGTTTTATAAAAATTATTTTGTATAAATTAATGTCGGAGTACTTAAATTGAACGTATAGAAAAGATAATCTGATTATTTAATTTCATTGTATTAATTTTAAAAAATTATAAAATTCTTCATGCATTTTAAAATTTGTTTACAAAAAATTAACAAGAAAGCTTAGTTATAAAAGAAATTTTCCTAACATACAAATTGAGTTTAATTTTCATGTCGTAATGATATTTATTCTTCTATTAGGAAGGTATTGACGTTAAATTGAAAAAAAAAGTATAGTTAAAACTGTTCACCGTTTTTTCTGGCTCTATAAGCAAACCGAAAAGCAAGAATATTTTTAGCAAAGTGCTTTGGTAATTATTTAGGTAAAATTAACAATACAGTATGGTTTTAATGTGTGTGATAAATGTTGGTAAATGCGGTATCATCATGACTTAGAGCATGGCATAAAAACTATTCCTTCGGATAAATTTACTTTTCAGTTTTATACCTTATACTGAATGTGTGGTAATTAAGAACTAAGTTAAAAAATCTGAATTTTTAGTATACCGTTACAATGTGATTGAAAAAATTGATGAAATGATGGTTTATATATTTACAACATTACATTAAATAGCCAGCATTAAATAGCCAACTAGTATTTAAAAAGTGCATAAGAATGGCTTTATTTATGCTATCATATCTGGATATCTAGCGAGAAATGAATGCAGAATAAAATAAAAAATAATGATATTAAAAAAAGCATACGATGCGTTGGTAATCTTTCACATAAATATTTGCTTTGCTTCTTTTCAAAAAAGAAAAAAAATTAAAATCATTTTAAATTATTTGAATGGTTGAAATCTTAAATTATCTGTCTAAATATAAGTTATTAATACATACAATTTTCTCTTGTGTCATGAAAAAATATTTAACTTCGCTTTAAGAAGTTAAATATTTTTTAATGAATTTTGCTGAATTTGAGATTTAGACACTTAAGCTTCAATTTTAATGAAAGTTTGGTAAATGAAACTAAATGTAACTAAAATCTGTAACTAAAAATGAGTATTATAATTATATAGTATCTTCTAATAATCCTTTAATATCCTGCCTTTCCTTTAATAATCCTTTAATATCCTGCCTTTCCTTTAATAATCCTTTAATATCCTATAGGAAACTGCTTTTTTCAATGTGCCTTGCTTTTCTTAATAATTCTTCCATTTTACATGACATATACTCAGAAAATGTATTAGGACAAGCACAGTTTAGAGTAGTTTTTCTCTGCTTTGATAAATAATTATTCCTTTACCACAATTTTTACAAACGAACTCGAACTTTAGTATGCCAGCCGACCGGACTAGAGCTGACCTCACGTCTGAAAGGACCTGGGTTCCAATTCTGGACAAAGCATGAATGTTCTCTCATTCGTGTGGAAGCAACGTTGGCCCACCTAATATGGTGCCCCTTAAAGAGTTGCCGCCAAATCTGCCGTATTGATACCTGATTGACGAGTGTCAATTGGGTGGGCATTGTTGTTGTTGTTGTTTATTTACGTCGCACTAGAGCTGCACAATGGGCTATTGGCGACGGTCTGTGAAACATCCCTGAGGATGATCCGAAGACATGCCATCACAATTTTGATCCTCTGCAGAGGGGATGGCACCCCCGCTTCGGTAGCCCGATGACCTGCACGCGAAGTCGAGCACTTTACGGTAGAACAGTTTAACGAGGACCAATACCGCACACCCTCGGTCCCTACGCAGGCTGATCCAAGTGGTCACCCACCCGCACACTGACCGTAGCCAGTGATGCTTGACTTCGGTGATCTGCTGGGAACCGTGTCTTAACGATCAGTCCACTGCGTGGGCACTGAGAAAAAATACTTTTGTATGCCTGAATAAATGTGTGCTAGAATCTTTAAATTAGATTTTTGATCACTTTTCACCTAACTAAAGCATTCAAATTCAGCTTTAAGTTTGATAAAAGTACCAGTTTCAATATATTCCTGACAGCAGCATGTGGAAGTTATACCAAAAGTTAGACACCTTGAAAAATCTCCAGCTTTTTTTTCTCAATAGTATCTATTATTTCCAAGTGCGGTAAAAACAAAGCCTATTTGCTTAAAGTCAATTTCAAAAATTGCACTGAAAATCTCTTTTTACATTAATATTTAAAATTTTATCTTGCTGTATAGGAAAGATATCTTTTGAAAATATTTACTTACTTCACTCACTCTAATAAGTGTGACTTTTTACTAATTCATAAAATTAAAAAAAAATTAACTTTAAAATACAAAATAAGTCTTTCTTCTTCCAATCAAGGAGCACAGTTTATAAAAATTTATGCATTTTATTATTCATATTTTACTTTTAGAAACTTACATCAAGAGTTATTTCAAACACACTTAACTTAATAGCAATAAAAAGTGGTTTTTTACCAACTCATTCTTTTAAATCGCTTAAATCTTGAAGTAAAATTTTAATTTCTCCAAGAGTTCCCATTTAAACTTAATAAATAAAAACATTCTATCGCTTGCTCTCTTAACTTAAGCTTTCTTGATCCTACTGCAAGTTCGTTAAACAAATAAAACAAAACTGAATACAAAACAAAATGATTTTTATTTTCACTGAATTATTGAAAATTACACAAATAGATCACAGTTGTAGCAAACCAAAAGATCAAAGAATGATTTTTTTAAATCACAGTTATGTTTCTAAAACAAAATTAGTCTCTTTGCAATTGATAAATATGCACTAGCATATTTAAATGTAACAATTTAAATAATTTTTTTTTATTCTACATTTGGCACAGCACATCTAGATTGGAAATTTTGTGATAATGCATACAAAAAGATACTTAGTTTTTTTCAGGAGACTAGATATTTTAAATCATTTATGAGATTTTTGCGAAAGGAAATACAGAAAAATAAGTCCAAAGTAATTTTAATAAAGAATAAAAGGAAAAATAGAGTCTTTGGCTTAAAGAAAGAAAAATAACCTGGAGTCCTGGGAAAATAAATAATGCACAAGTATTTCCGTTTTTTGTTTAACGTCTTATAAATTTGAAATAGCTTGTTCATTGCTTTTAATGAGCTTCTGTAGCCTTTTTCTTTACCTGGCCCAATAAGCTTTGATAGAAAAAATAGTTATATTCTCTAATTAGAAAGGAATATTTTATTCGGGCATAAAAAAACAGTAATTTCCTTCTTGGCGATTTTTTTTTCTTAGTGCTTTTTCTTCTCAAAGAAAAACGTTGCGATAAGCTATCGGTAACGATGATATTAGCATTTAAATATTAATAAGTTGTTTTTATAAGAGAACGTTTTTTTAGAAAGAATTAAATCTTGATATTTTTATTTCTTCTAAAAAATTTAAAAAATATTTAGTATTTTAACCTCTACAATTCAAACTTACAGAAACTGAAAAAAAAAAGTTAAATGTTTATCAAGAATTTTTAGCTAAAAAATTCTAGGAAATTAGCATGAGATATTGTTTAGTACTTTACGTTTTCAATACGGATAGTTAGAAAAAAATAAAATGAAATTGTGAATATTAATATTTTATTTGCATTTTGTTTAATTTTCTTTTGGTAATTACTCCATATTTAATGCCTAACTATGAAGTAGAAAAAATGCATTTCATTTGAAAATTTTAATTTTTCTTATAAATAATTAAGAATCTATTTTAAAAATGTCAGTAATTACTTTTAAACTAAATTTGATTACAGAATTAAATTTACGTAATTTAATTATAAATCGTAAACTCAAGTCTTAATATATGACGTCTCATAGGAATTAATTTCTTAAAAACAAATTTTTTTGTGCGTCAGCTCTTTTTTACTTTTCTTAATTAAAACTTATTAGGCTAGATTTTTGCTCTGATTTAAGGATAAATTTTCTATTTAAGACATATATTATAATTCTTGAAATCAGTTCCATTTACACAGTTTGAAAATTTTTGAAAGAAACATTATTCATAATAAATTATTAGCACCAAACATTTTAAGTGAGAAATTTAAATAGTATATCAACAAAACTTTTCAAATTGGTAATGTTTTTTAATGATAGCTTCCAGCTCCATATTGTTGGTTATCACCGTATGCACCTCCATATCCTTGCTGTGCTGGAGCTGCCTGCGCTGGTGCTGCATGAGCTGGTGCAGGTGGTGCTTTGGGGATACCGTCTCCTTCAACCTTGTAACCATCCTTACCTGCAGTGTATCTGATGATTCTCTGTTTACCAGTTTCATCGACGTATCCGTAAGCTCCTTTAACAGACCCGTCTGGAAGTCTAGTTTCTTCTCTGAAGCTCTGGTCTTGACCCTTTCCAGTATCGTAACCAAACTTGTAGTCTCCAGCTAACTCAGCACCAATGTTGACATAGTGAACTGCAGCAGGTGGTGCTACTGTGCGAGCTTGTGTACTTGGAGCATGATATTGGGGTTGGGGTTGATGTGCTGGCTGCTGAGGTTGATATGATTGTGGTTGAGGTTGATAAGACTGTGGTTGAGGTTGATAGGATTGTGGCTGGTAAGCAGGAGCTTGGTGTTGAGATGGTTGTGGTTGATATGATTGCTGAGCTTGGTATCCCTGTTGGTGTCCTTGTTGTTGGTATGGGTATTGAGCGGTGACGGATGCCGCCAAAGCCAGCACAGTAATCTATAAATAAAACGATTTGTCAGGAAAAATTCTTAACTTAATTCTGTAAGAGAAATCTCTTTATACACTAATCTATATTTTTCTTGCATAAAAAATAAACATTAAAATTAGTTTTTGCAAAAATTACTTCGTACCAAAAATATATTCTTTAAATTTCAACTATAATGAAGTATAAATTCACAGTTCAAAAAACTGTAACCCATCTAACTATTTTACTTCAAAGGAATAAGTAATTAACGGAACATAGAACAGTTATTAATCTCATTTCTAAACGTGTAATAAAATATACTTTAACACATAATTTTATATTTTAGTACATAACTGTTTCATATTTTCACTACCAAATCTTTGTACAAAGCTCAGTAACTTCATTTTCTTTATAGTTTTCAGGGTTACATTCATTATTAAACTATTGAAAACTCAATTGTTTTGTTTTGGTGAATGATTTTTAATCAATTTTTTTTTTTACAAAGTGTTATTTTATTAGTCATAGTTTTGAGTATGCTGCGAAAAAATTAACCCTTACCTCAAACTGTGTTTAAATGTGACAGCTAAATGGTTTGAAATGGGACAGAAATGATCGAACATTAAAATGAGGGTAAAAAAAACAACAATCAATAATAAACAATAATAAAACAAATAATAACTAACAGCAAAAAAATAATTTAATAAATAGAACCCACAAAAAACCATTACTTTGTTACCTGAAACTTTAAGATTATGATTGAGAATCTCGTCTAAAACTGACAAAATTTGTTTATGGTTTAATTACTTTTTAATAAAAATATAGAACTATGTATAACTACTAGACAATTCCAAATAATAAATATAATTAGTTTTTTATCATAAAAATTATTTAATTCATTGCTTCTAATAAAATAAATATTATAATTGATTACTCAATAATTATAAAAAATGATTCGATTAGATTCCTCATTTATTTTTATGGAATTAACATGATGTACTATTAAAATATAAAATTATAAAAATTATTTGCAACACAACCATTTGCTTTCAGTTTCTCATTAAAAAATAAATACAAAAACTGGATGTTTTACTTTTGGCTTACTATTAATTATTTTTTAACTTATTATAAATGAACGCTTTATAAATATTATCCTTCATCACCCTTTATTTTTTTTCTCTTAATATATATATTTCTTTAAAAGAGAACAAAACTTGATTTTTTCTTGGGCAAAGCCTGCTTGCTCTAAAAGATATCGCTATTTTTTAATTTTTTACCATTTCTATCTTATTTAAACTTCTATATCTTATACTAGTAGAATTAATATATATCCGCTTATTTGACAATTATGCATAAAATATTATGACTTTGACACAAGAGAATTAAGATTTTAATTTCCAGAAAATATAAAATGCTTAATCAAATCATGATAAATGTTTGGTACACTTACTATAAAAAATAATTTAAGCTTCAATGTAATTATTTTCAAATTTAATGCTTAGAATTCTAACGTCGGTAATTTATTACGTTTCTAAAAATTTTTCAATTAGTTAATAATTTAATTAAAAACAGAAATTAAGAAACGGTATTATTTAAAATAAATGAAAAGCAAATATTTGAACAAAAGACAAATAAGGAAATGTTTGCTGCTTAATTAAGCTTTAACACAACACTTTTTACATTTTCAGTTTCTTTTAAATGTAAATAAGAAAAAGTTTTTTGTTTTAACTTTTTAAAAAATAAACATTATTATTTCCATTAAATTTTCAAAAAATATTATCAAACTATTTTCTACTTTTCTGAAAAACAAAAATAGAAGAAAATTTTCACTGTCAAAATGTCTTAATAGTTAAGATATAGTTATAAGCAGTAACTATAAAATATAGTTATAAACTATAGTTAAAAGCAGTAACATATATAGAGGTACTTTTTTACATTATTGCAGCAATGACATAATTGAGGGGTGGTTTAAGGGAAAATATTAATTACAGTTTTCAAATATTGATGATACTTAATGAAAAATATTAGAATATAAAAAAATTTAATGTGCTGGTTATTAGAATTCAGTTATTAGGCGAAAACTCTGACAGAGCTAATAAACTAGTTAATGAAAACAATATTTAATATAAGTGTGTTTAATCTACCAAAAAAAATATAAATATTTGAAATATATATTTCATTTGAAAGCAATATAAATCTATTCCAAATTTTGAACATAGTTACAAAAAATCAGAGCAATATATCGAGTAGGAATAAAAAAGAATTAAAAGTTAAAATAAAATTCAAAATTAACACAGTTCATTAAAAACTCGTTCGTAAAATAATCTTAAGGTGCTTAAAACGAAATACTAGTTAATATTGTTTTTAGTAAATAAACTGAACGCAGTTTTGATTACTTACAAAAGCTATCATCTTTGTAAAGTTCCAAGAGTGAGTGAAAGATGTATGTAGGGCACCCCTTTTTATATGGATGAAAGGCGAAACTGGAATTTACATTTTACTTTTTATTTGAATTTTTCTTCCGGAAAAGAATGTTTTCTATTGTAAACTATCGACTCGAATCAAGGGAAATAGCGTATATTAAGTATTTAAAAAAAAATAATAATAAATTCGATAGAGATTTGAAACCTGTTTCTATGGAAGAAAAATGAAGTAAGTCAAGCAAGGTCACGTGAACTGGTTAAGGAAATATTCGTTGAATGATATATTTGTTATTTACGATAATTTTGTGTGTGACTGAATTTATCATTTATTAATCCCTCAATTTACAAACTTTAATGTTTAATTAATATTGCAATTTGAATAATAATAAATCATTAAATTTTAAAATAAATCATTAAATTTTAAAATTAATTTTATTTTTGAAATTGAAATGAACTAATGATTTATTTTTGATTGAATCTTTTCTTTTCTTTTATAAAATGAATATTTTGAATATAGTTGATTAATGCTTAATTGAAACCATATTGTTCATTCATAATCTTTATTTAAAATTAATAATTATTATGAATAGTTCATGGTATCCTTATTTAGAATTATTTATGATTAAAACATAATTAACAAATTTTATTTTCATATTTTAAATGCAAATTTTATTCTTGTTAATTTAAAACAGCTCATAATCCATGCATAAGTTAAAAATAAAATGATTTATAAAATCATATTCCATTTAAATTAAATACATATAATTAATATAGTCCACTAGATTCCAGAAAAATTTAAAATTTCTTGAAATAAAAATACATTTTTTGGAAATCAGCTATTCTGCTAGGAGAACTAGCACGACTGCGAAACGCAATTCACATTTTTAATATTATTCTAAATTCTATAATTTTAATGGACCAGCAAAACAGATTGTAAAAATTAATCAGGAATCAGTCATAATCTAATACCACCTACACAATCGTTTGTGAACAAATAATCTTGCTCTTTTAACTTCAGCATCTATTGCTATTGTTTATTTTAGAAATTTATGAAATAGATTTACGTACTAGAACTTATCTGCAAAATTCCATCTGATTTAGAATTTTAATGGTCAAACTACAACTAAAACTAGGTGATTGTAAGACATTTATGGAAAAGTTGATATCATTAGCTCAATTTATTCATTCCGCAATGCTAAATTTTTACCTCCTAAAATTTAAACAAAGATTATACTTTAAATTTGTAAAATTAAGAAAGCAATGTAACTTTATACGCTTATATTTTGTTCTACTCTAACTTAAAATACTTAATGCATTCCTAGTTTACATTTCTAACTGATTTCTTGAAATGTTGAAGACATAATTTAACTATTATTAATTATTAATTAATAATATTAATTATTAATTATTGTTAATTAATTAGTATTTAATAAAGGAAAAATATTTTTTTTAAATAAACTAGACCTTATATTATTTTTTTTACAAAAAATTTTCAAGCAAAAAGTTTAAGCAATAATATTGCTTGCAATATACTAATGTACTATTTCTTGTTGCCATGTAATATTTGTTATTACGAATCACTATTACGCAATATTTGTTAAAATATGTATGTTTATATAAAATACATGTAATTACGCAACAATGTTGGAAATAATAATAAAAAACTTGTGAGTTTTCAGAATCATTTTTGTTTCTTCTGTTATCATTTTATCTGAAGTCTTATTTTGATCAAACCAACAAAAGTCAACCAAGTAATATTTTTTGTTGTCACGTATTATTTGCCGATAATGAATCACTGTTCATTATGTAATATTTATTTATTAAACATGTTTATGCTGAGCGTAAATCATTACCAAACGATAGCGAAAATTACAAAAAAAATTTTGCCACTTTCAAAATTATTTTTTTGACTCACGTCGCTTTGCCTACAACCCTCTTTCATTTGATCAATACACAGAATAATACACTAACGTAATATCATTTACTGTTACGTAATACTTGCGTATAACAAATCTCTATTACGTCACACATGTTTGTAGATTACTAGCATACATCATAAGTAGGCGATAGAAGAAATTAGAAGGATAAAAAAATTGTGACGTTTTCAAAATCGTTTTCTTGACTCACATTGCTTTGCCTGCTATCCTATTTCATTAGATCAATACATATAATAAAAATTACACTAACGTAATATCATTATACTTAATATTTGCATGAAACAAATCTCTATTACGTCACATTTGTTTATTACATATGTTTATAGATATCTAACATGCATCATAAGCAGATTATAGAAGAAATTAGAAGGATAAAAAAAAAATTGTGACGTTTTCAAAATCGTTTTCTTGACTCACAATTGCATGTAACAAATCTCTATTACGTCACATTTGTTTATTATACATGTTTATAGATATCTAACATGCATCATAAGCAGACGATAGAAGAAATTAGAAGGATGAAAAAAAATTGTGACGTTTACAAAATCGTTTTCTTGACTCACATCGCTTTCCCTGTAACCTTATTTCTTTTAATCAAGGCGTATCTGCATTCGAAGGGCAAAACATGTATTCTACACGTCACAGACGGACATTTCTTTCATTGCCAGATACATACGCTTTCATCGGTGACGAATACAATCTTTACACTTAAGAAATGACCTTTCTTTTTCAATGCACGCGATACTCTAACAAAAGGCAAACTTATTTTCAAACACAGCATTAATGAAACCCTGAATATTCATTTTCACCTCCAAAAAGTAAAGGTTACTTTCTATTATTTAATTTATTCATAAGCGTTCGGAAATTAGATGAGGAAGAAAAAGCGACGGGGCTGGGTTTTCTGTTCGGGTCGTATCTTTTACACTGTTCGTGTGTTTCTTGTTCTTTGTCAATTAGAAGGTAGAATACTTTTTTTCTAATGTCGTGATGGAAAAACAAATTGCTTTTTCAGTCAACAGAAGGTTTCAGTATGATGTAGGTAATGTGTTGAGAATTTAATTGTTTTAATTTCAGCCTGAGCCATCGTTAAGGAGATATTATTTTTTTTTTTTTAATATTAGAGCCAGGTCACAAAACGCAACTAAATTATTTCTATAACTAAATAGTAACTTGTATTAAATTTATAGTAACATGCACTCTTGATTGCATATTTTTGCTTATTTTTGAAGAAAAAAGTACAGATTTCAGAAATTTAAATAAAACTTTTTAAGGTTGTGGCATTTCAATCATTTTTTTTAAGAAAATTATTTTTAGCATACAGCTAATTTTGACTACCTATAGGTTAATCATCAATTTCTTGTGGGAAAATAATCAAATGCAAGATTGAAGAAACCTTAAAGAATATTTCCCATCTCTAAAAATTGAATGTTACTTTCTATTATTTACCAAGTCCCCGTCTAAGTCTTGTATTCAGTACCAGGCCACTGAATACAAGAACAAATTACTATGCAAAAAAGCGTCAATTTTAAGGAATATTTATATTAAGTTTGAAATAACATGGAATAATTTTGATTACCTATAATTATCAATTTCTTTTGGGAAAATAATCAAATGCAAGATTAAAGAAACCACAAAGATTATTTCCCATCTCCAAAAATTAAATATTACCTTCCATTATTTACCAAATCCTTGTCTAAGTCTTGTATTCAGTGCCAGACCACTGAATACAAGTAAAAATTATTATGCAAAAACACGTCACTTTTAAGGAATATTTATATTAAGTTTGGAATAACATGCAAGCTTGAAAGTTTTTCTAACTTTTTTGTTTTTAAAGTAAGGTGTATCATTTTCAAACATTTAACTAAAACTTTTTTAATGCATAATTTAAGCATTTAAAAATATTAGTCAGCAAGCAGATAATTTTGATAACATACAGAAAAATAATCACATTTTTAAGAAGAAATGTCCAACAAAACTTTAATGCACAGAATTCTCTGAGTATTCATTTTCAATTCAAAAAAGTAACTGTAAGTTTCTATTATATATCGCCAGTCTTCAGCAATAATTAAAAAAAAAATTCTTTAATATCAGTGTTATATCACTGAATGCAAAAAAAAATTTTCGGTAGTTCAGAAGGCAAAAAAAAATTAGAATTAATGTGAGAATTGTATGTCATCATAAAAAATATTTGAATGACTTATAGAAAAGTTTTCAAAAAAATTTGAGAAAATAATTAAGCGCAACATCAATGAAACCCTGGAAATTCATTTTCTCACATAAAGAAAGTAACTCTTACTTTCAATTATTTAAAAAGTCAAGTATGAGACATGATTAAAAATTTTCTCTTTAATATCAGTGTCAGGTCACTGAATGAAAACAAATTATTTCTGTAATTCAAAAAATATTCATTTCAATTAAATTTTTTTATTAAATTGACAAGATTTTAGTATGGGACAGTTAATGTGCAATAATTTATATATATTTTTTTAAAATCCAGCCTTAAAAATCATTAAAAAATATGTTTTTCGTATCAGTGTCGAACCCCTCAATGCTACAAAAATATTTCTCCAACTAATGCTGAAAAGATTTTATTTAAATTTTCATTAAATTGCAAATAATATTCTATTTTGAGATTTTTTTGTCCCGTTGAAAGTTAAAGGTATTGTTTTAAGTCAAATTAATTAAAACTTTTTAAAATGTATGATTCAAACATTTCAACAGAAAAAATCTTGTCATACAAGAAATTTTGATAATTTATAAGAAAACAGTACAATTTTTTGGAAGTTAAAATAAACTATAGGACTAATGAAACCTTGAATATGCATTCTCATTAATGTTACTTTCTAAATGTTACCTAAATGTTACTTTCTAGCATTTAATTTATTCATAAGCCGTCTGAAATTAGAGAAAGAAGAATATAGATGGGGTTGGGCCTTGTCTTCGGGTTGTATTTTTTTCACATGGCTCGTGCGCTTCTTTTTCATTGTCAATTAAAAGATAGAGTTCCTTAGCCTAATATCGTGATTCAAAAAATTGCGCTTTTAAACTACAGAACGATTTAGTATGGGGAGGGTGTATACGTTCAGAGTTTAAATACAACCTGAGCCATCATTAAAAATATTACTATCTTAATAGTCTCCAGTTATTTAACGTAGCAAAATTACTCCTTAGCTAATAACAAAATTGCT